TGTAAAACAACTCAGGAAATGTGCATCAGATACTATTATCTAGGCACTTCAGAGAGGAGCTAAAGCAGAGGTATGGGGGAAGGGTCTGCCCCCAGAAAGCTCCATAGGGTCTGCTCCCTTACAAAAGTGTTAGCATTTAAAGGGCTTTGTCTCCTTAGGTAGGTTTATTCCTAGGTATTTTATTCTTTTTGTTGCAATGGTGAATGAGAGTGTTTCCTTAATTTCTCTTTCAGAGTTTTCATCATTAGTGTATAGGAATGCAAGAGATTTCTGTGCATTAATTTTATATCCTGCTACTTTACCAAATTCATTGACTAGCTCTAGTAGTTTTCTGGTAACATCTTTGGGATTCTCTAGGTACAGTATCATATCATGTGCAAACAGTGACAGTTTTACTTCTTCTTTTCTGATTTGGATTCTTTTTATTTCTTTTTCTTCTCTGATTGCTGTGGTTAAACTTCCAAAACTATGTTGAATACTAGTGGTGAGAGTGTGCAACCTTTTCTTGTTCCTGATCTTAGTAGAAATGGATTCAGTTTTTCACCACTGAGAATGATGTTGGCTGTGGGTTTGTCATATACGGCCTTTATTATGTTGAGGTAAGTTCCCTCTATGCCTACTTTCTGGAGAGTTTTTAACCATAAAAACTTATACCTACAATTTAAATGTTGAATTTTGTCAAAAGCTTTTTCTGCAACTATTGAGATGATCATATGTTTTTTCTCCTTCAGTTTGTTAATATGGTGTATCACATTGATTGATTTGTGTATATTGAAGAATCCTTGCTTTCCTGAGATAAACCCCGCTTGATCATGGTGTATGATCCTTTTAATGTGCTGTTGGATTCTGTTTCTAGTATTTTGTTGAGGATTTTTGCATCTATGTTCATCAATGATATTGGTCTGTAGTTTTCTTTTTTTGTGACATCTTTGTCTGGTTTTGGTATCAAGGTGATGGTGGCCTTGTAGAATGATTTTGGGAGTGTTCCTCCCTCTGCTATATTTTGGAAGAGTATGAGAAGGATGGGTGTTTGCTCTTCTCTAAATGTTTGATAGAATTTGACTGTGAATCCGTCTGCTCCTGGGCTTTTGTTTGTTGGAGGATTTTTCATCACAGTTTCAATTTCAGTGCTTGTGATTGATTTGTTTATATTTTCTATTTCTTCCTAGTTCAGTCTCGGGAAGTTGTGCTTTTCTAAGAATTTGTCCATTTCTTCCAGGTTGTCCATTTTTATTGGCATATAGTTGCTTGTAGTAATCCCTCCTGAGCCTTTGTATTTCTGCAATGTCAGTTGTTACTTCTCCTTTGACAAAAGACCTATATGCAGAAAACTGTAAGACACTGATGATGGAAATTAAAGATGATACAAACAGATGGAGAGATATACCATGTTCTTGGATTGGAAGAATCAACATTGTGAAAATGACTATACTACCCAAAGCAATCTGCAGATTCAGTGCAATCCCTATCGAACTACCAGTGGCATTTTTCATAGAACTAGAACAAAAAAATTTCACAATTTGTATGGAAACACAAAAGACCCCGAAGAGCCAAAGCAATCTTGAGAAAGAAAAATGGAGCTGGAGGAATCAGGCTCCCTGACTTCAGACTATACTACAAAGCTACAGTAATCAAGACAGTATGGTACTGTCACAAAAACAGAAATATAGATCAATGGAACAGGATAGAAAGCCCTAGATAAACCCACATACATATGGTCACCTTATCTTTGATAAAAGAGGCAAGAGTATACAATGGAGAAAAGACAGCCTCTTCAATAAATGGTGCTGGGAAAACTGGACAGCTACATGAAAAAGAATGAAATTAGGACACTCCCTAACACCATACACAAAAATAAACTCAAAATGGATTAAAGACCTAAATGTAAGGTCAGACACTATAAAACTCTTAGAGGAAAACATAGGCAGAACACTCTATGACATACATCACAGCAAGATCCTTTTTGACCCACCTCCTAGAGAAATGGAAATAATAACAAAAATAAACAAATGGGACCTAATGAAACTTAAAAGCTTTTGCACAGCAAAGGAAGCCATAAATGAGACAAAAAGACAACCCTCAGAATGGGAGAAAATGTTGAAGCAACTGACAAAGGATTAATCTCCACAATTTATAAGCAGCTCATGCAGCTCAATAACAAAATAACAAACAACCCAATCCAAAAATGGGCAGAAGACCTAAGTAGACATTTCTCCACAGAAGATATACAGATTGCCAATAAACACATGAAAGGACGCTCAACATCACTAATCATTAGAGAAATGCAAATCAAAACTCTGATGAGGTATCATCTCACGCCAGTCAGAATGGCCATCATCAAAAAATCTACAAACAATAAATGCTGGAGAGGGTGTGGAGAAAAGGGAACCCTCCTGCACTGCTGGTGGGAATGTAAATTGATACAGCCACTATGGAGAACAGTATGGAGGTTCCTTAAAAAACAAAAAATAGAACTACCATACGACCCAGCAATCCCACTACTGGGCATATACCCTGAGAAAGCCATAATTCAAAAAGAATCATGTACCACAGCGTTCATTGCAGCTCTATTTACAATAGCCAAGACATGGAAGCAACCTAAGTGTCCATTGACAGATGAATGGATAAAGAAGATGTGACACCTGTATGCAATGGAGTATTACTCAGCCATAAAAAGAAAACAAGATTGAGTTATTTGTAGTGAGGTGGATGGACCTAGAGTCTGTCATACAGAGTGAAGTAAGTCAGAAAGAGAAAAACAAATACTGTATGCTAACAAATATATATGAAATTTAAAATAAAAATTGGTTCTGATGAACCTAGGGGCAGGACAGGAATAAAGCTGCAGATATAGAGAATGGACTTGAGGACATGGGGAGGGGGAAGTGTAAGCTGGGACGAAGTGAGAGAGTGGCATGGGCATATATACACTACCAAATGTAAAATCGATAGCTAGTGGGAAGCCACCACATAGCACAGGGAGATCAGCTCAGTGCTTTGTGACCACGTAGAGGGGTGGTATAGGGAGGGTGGGAGGGAGATGCAAGAGGGAGGAGATATGGGGATATATGTATACGTATAGCTGATTCACTTTGTTATCCAGCAGAAACTAACACACCATTGTAAAGCAATTATACTCCAATAAAGATGTTTAAAAAAAATAGGGAAAAAAATAAATTAAGGGCTTTGTAAATTCTAAAGCTCTACACAAATCATAGTGATAACAGAGAATCCCTGCTCCCTTGAGGCTCCCAATCCAAGGAGGGGGGTCAGTATGGACTTTATGTCATCTCTTCTAACCTGGGATGGATGGGACATAGGATACTGGCTTTGGACTTGAACATGTTGTATTTTGTAGGATTATCTCTTCTTTATCCTCTTCTCTTTTTTTCTTTCTTTTAATTGTTTGGCCTAAAACTTTCCAGGATAGCTGTTTCATTTCTCTAATTTATCCATTATGTGTGGGTGTGGTGAGGATGAAACAGAGGGAAGAGAATCAAAGGAAAAGCAGAGGCTGCAGAGGTTGAGTTGACCTGGAGAGAAAGCCCTGAGCTTGCCCTGCAGCTGTCTCAGGCTCTCCCCCACCCTGGGCTGGGGTTGAGGCAGCAGGGCCTCACACAGGGCTCAGTGCCTGTCAGGACCCAGTTCCTCACCAGGGACTTGCCCCTCTCATAAGTTCTGTTCCCTCAGTGATCTAATTTTATCTTGTTGTCCTTTAATTGAATAGTGAATATCTGCTGTGAAACCACTGTATGTAAAGACTTACTCCAGGTTCTATGTTATTAACAAGCTTCCACACAAGACGCAACCCTGTCATTCAAAGACAATAACAATTGCTGTTATTTATTGATGACCGACATGTACTATTTATATGCAGCTAATGTGTGCATAGCATAGGCACTATGCCATGCCCTTTGGCATGTATTTATTCATCTAACTGTCACAGCATCCTTATAAGGAAAGTGCTGTTTTTATCCCACTTTACCATTGAGGAGCCTGAGTTTATGTAATTTGCCCAAGGTCACATGGCAGTGGTTGGCAGAGCTGGAGTTCTCACCTAGAGGGACTGCCCCAGAGCACGGCTCTTAGCCTATGTGTCACGTGGTTTCTGCCTACTACGAGGAAAGAGAGGTCTAATGCATAATCACAACCGAAAGCAGAACTGCATAAATGTTGTAAGTGAGATACAAGGCATGCTGAAGGAACGCAGAGGAGATACTGGGGCAGCGTGAAGAGGGCAGAGAAGGATGTTCAGAGAGGCAGCTGAGAAAAGGCTGAGTGCCTCTGGCCCGGGGGAGAGTGGTCAAGACTGGCCCTGCTGAGCGTATGGGGAAGAGGTCATGGCTCTAGAGCCCTAGGTGTGGAGTGATGGTGCGGAATGGGAGGGAGGGAGAGGCGAGGTGGAATCAGACTTGATTCCAAGATGACAGCCCTCAACCACAGGGATGAACTATTATGCTAATGAGACAGAGACACCCTACGGGTCCTACAGGGTCCAGTCGTCCCAGAAACACTCTTCTGGGGTAGAAGTAAATGGAGACGTGGTGCTACAGGCTGCTGACTAGAGTTATTTAGGGCCAAGCAGAGCCCTGATGCTCTGTCTCATTACTCTGGGGACCCAGCCCTGGCTCCCTGATGCTTACTCTTTTCTCTGCCCTCTCTTGCAGCTCTTGCTGGAGGCCACCATGAGCTCCCTCTGGTGCTCCGGGACCGGAGATGTCATCGAGGACTGGTGTCGATGTGACCCCACCGCTTTCGGAACTGATGGACTCCCTGCCTGTGCGCCTCTCCCACAGCCCGTGTATGATTCCCTTTCTCGGCCTTTCTCTTGCTTGTGTGCCTCGCCATTATTCTGCAAACATATGTTAAAGAGTGTCTACTCTTTTCCAAGCAATGGGCTGGGTCCTGGGGAACAGAAAGAAAAATATGGTGCAGTACCTGCCTTAGGGGCGCTTTCAGTCTTCTAGGGAGGCAAGTGAACCAATTTAACAGTAGCAGAGATGGTAGGATAAGAGTTATATGAGACATTTAAAGACAGTGTGAAAAGGGAATAGTCGAGTCTGAATTTGAAGAATAGTGAAGGCTTCATAAAGGACATAGCACTTGAATTTCTCCCCAAAGGTGGAGAAAGCAGGACAGCATGGCTAGAAGAAAAGAGGGGTAAATGTATTGTTGCCGTGGAGGAAGATAGAAGTCAGTAATAAGACCCAGGACAGCAACACACTTACTGGGTGTCGGGCACAGTGTGAAGCAGTTAGGTACTGTTATCACCACCACCACCACCTTTAACAGACAGGGAAATGGATTCCGATGGACTGAATAGTTTTTCCATGGTCGTAGAGCAGGAAGCAGGGCCATAGGTAAGAGACCGTGATCTTAACCATAATAGTATAGTACACAGAGGCTACAACTCAGAGATGACTTTGGGTAGAACCAACAGGGTTTGGTGACTGATTGACTGTGGGAGTGAGAAGGAAGGAAAAGTGGAGAATGGACTTAAGACTTATGACCTCAGTGGCTGGGACGATGACCTCAGTGGCTGGGACGATGAATAGGCTACAGCTGAGAAAAGAAGCGTCCCAGGATAAGCAGGTTCGAGGAGGAGGTTGGTTCCCTTTGGACCTGCCTGAGAATTATAGTGGGGCAGTCGTATAGAAATAGTCAGCGGTCATGAGGAAAGATGATCTGGAGCCCTATAACAAAGTAAACGCTCGAGATAAGAAGATTGAACTCAGCCCCAAAGAAATGAGAAATGGAACCACAGCTATGAGAAAGGATGCTCCAGAATGACTGTCATCTGGGAAGAGCAGAGGGTCAGGGATGTGCATTAAGGGGCATCTGCATTTGAGGGGTGAACAAAGTACAAAGGGCTGCAAAGGTGGCTGAAAATGAACATGTCCAGTTTTCATACACTCAGAGAAAGGCTGAACAGAACTGGCTGAACTCATGTAAAGGGCAGGAAACCCTGTTGGCCTCGAATGTGGCATCTGCCATGGGAGTGAAGCACAGAAATGTTGTGTCTAATAAAGAGGGATGGTAGGACGAGCTGGAGGAGCCTGGATTGGTAAGGCAAAGAGAGCCCAAAGGGAGGATCCTGACTCAGTAACTGGAGGGCTGAGTAAGCAGGAGCAAAATGGCAGGAGGAAACCAGCAAGTGAGAGGCTGGTCTGTGTGCATACTGCTATCTGGTCTGTTCCGTGAAAGTGTGGGTGGGCCTTAAAGGGCCAGGACTGAGCAGGAAGAACATTGAGAAAGAGGAGAACACAGTGGTACAGGGTCATCACAAGCCAATGTCTTCTTTTGTCTACAGGCCTTCTCTATGTGGGCCATTTTAGACACGCCAGCCATTGGCTTCTTGCTCTTTACAGCCATGACTTAGACCTCTCAGCTCAAAAGAGAGTCAAGCTCATTATTAGTAAAAGGTCTTTCCTTTGGCAGAAAGGGAACTCTAGAAGATGGTGCTTCTAGCCTGATTCACCAGCTAAGAGAGCTACCTTTGACACACAACACTAAATCAGGTGGATGCCAGATCTAGCCATTGGTGTCCTAGGGCTGATTTCATTTCAAAATCTGCATTTACTAAATGTCATAGCAAAAGAGATCTAATTGGGCTAAATTTCTATAAACAGGAACATCTACAAAGGACTTCACTTTTCTTGTCAACTCTAGTCACTTCTTCCAGCAGCAAACCGTAATTTCTTGAATTTTTATCAGTAGTTGGATATAGGAATGCACTCTAGTTTTACACTAGCCTGTTTAAGTCATACACACTCCTATTTCTCAGTAGAGGCCAGCCTCAGTCCATGTTTTCACGGAATCTGAGTTCTCAGTAAGGCTTAGTTACTTAAGCTTCCTAATGCTTTTTTCTTCAAAATAGCCCTCTGCATATTATTCTAATTAACGAATACCTGCACTGTTTTGGGTCTGTTCCATCTTTAATGTCATATGCAAACTATGCACTCCTTCATAGTAAGCCACTAAAGAGCATGTGGTTTGTGTTATTCTCCCACCAGTTGAATTCCTCACTGTTGCTCCCACAGCTTCCCATGATGTCTTGTTAAAGTTCTTATCACACATTATTACAATCACATGCATAATTTGTATGTTGGTCTGGTGACCACTCCATAAGAGAAGGGGCTGGAGTTGGCTTTTGCACCAGTGCACCTTCAGCACCGAGCACATTCTTGTAAGTAGTGGGTGCTTAATAAATATTTGTTGAATTGAAATTGAACATTGTTTTGATGGGATCCATCCACAGTACCTTGCCTGGGGATCCTTGAGACCAATGACACATCTGGTGAGCTGAGTGGAGGCTAGAGCACCAGGATTATGGGTGGTCATGAGATATGGGAGCAAAGGTTGGGAATGAATGGCAGAGACTCATGTAAGGGAGGGAGGCTGGTGTGAGATGAACAGGGAAAACTCCCTAAAGCCAGTGGTCTAGGAAGAAACAGGGGACAAGAAGCAAGTGGGAAACCTAACACACACACATGATGTCAGAACAAGGCAGAGAATTGAAACCTCTTGGATCATTGGAAGATCCATGCCAATGAATGTTAATAGTGTTTGAGTCTCTACAATAGTGTTTATTGAGTCTCTACAAGTCTCTACAATAGTGTTTATTGAGTCTCTACAAGTATAAAGAGTTATGAGATGGCAGAGTGGTCAAAATGGACAATTTACATGACACAAGGAGACAATGAATTGGGAAAAGCAAGGCAAGACTAGAGTCTGGAATCAGGATATTCATAGAAACCCAAGAGTAAAGACAGAAACTGAAATCAGAACCTGAGTGTGCAGACGTAGGACAATGCCCTGAGGAGAACTTGACATGTGTCCAACTTTCTCTGGCCCAGTAAAGCCCCCTATGAGCATTACCTGCAAACTGAGCACGTGTTAGTACCCGTAGCAAGAGGGGAAACCAGGGTTCCGCCAGCAGGGCAATCCTGTAATGTTCTTGAAGCTGAGCTGACTGTCCTTCTTAATGCAGAGCTCTCCCAGACATCACCTTTAGTGGGCCTTGGTATGAGCATTATAGGCACATTTTCTTATTTTTCAAGAGCAAACCCAGAAATTACATTTTCAAGCCCTATAAAGTGCTACTCCAAAGGCCCTATCCACTAACCCTGTAAAATGCAGGCATTCCTTCATCTTTGACTCACCTGCTTATTTATTTATTTACAAATATATGTTGAGTTCCCAATTTGTGACAGGCACTTAGATGAACAAAATATAGACTTTAAGGATCTTCAAGAATTTTTATTTTACAGTGAAGGAGACACACCCTCAAAGAAATCATCCTAGTGGTTGGTTAAGAAAGGTTAGAAAGAAGAGTTTACGCTATAATAATAATTGAGAAGGTGGCCAGTAGTGGTATTGGGGCTGGGCCCCCATTTCATGTTTCTTGCTGTCTGCACTCAGGCTCAGACTCTCCACGGTTCATGAGCCCAGCAGCACCCTCGTGGTCCTGGAATGGGAACACTCAGAGCCTCCAATCGGCGTGCAGATTGTAGATTACCTCATCCGTCAAGAAAAGGTCACTGACAGGATGGACCATTCCAAGGTGGAGACAGGTGAGCATCTCCCACTTCACAGGCTCATCTTGATCCAGGGTGGCAAAAAGAAAAGAAAAGGAAAATGTCCTGCCTCCTGGCTTTGCCCTGAGTCCCCAGGCAACGTAGGAGGAGCAGGGAGAAGCAGCAGCAGCTATCCTTTCCATTTGAGAGTTTTTGCATGGTGAGCATCTGGCAAAGTCTTGTTTTAATTTTGTTTTTGTTTATGAAAGAGGTGTCCATTTCATTGTCTCTAGGCACACAAAGAAACAACAATACAGTACACTAGTTATCCTAGCCCATAATTAGGAAACAATTCTGTGTTAACCACTGCCATGATTACAGAAAAAGTTTCTTTGCTAATAACCCCAACTCCCCACCCCATCCAGGCAAAAGCATGTAGAAACAGATGTGCTTATTACCCCATGTCTTATCCTAAAGCAAACCTTGCTTTTGCCAGGTACAGCTAGAAGAGAGACGTCTTAAAGGAGTGGAAACACCCCATGAAAAATGTTTCATGCCTTAGTATTTCACTGTCTATACATAGGGAAAGGTGAACATAAATCATTCCTAAAACTGACGCATGAGTATGGGCACCAGCAGGGTGGTAGCATCCACAGTCTAGTGCAGGGTAAATAGCTTCTGGTGAAACTACCACTGTGGCTTGGAAACATATGCACTGCCTTTGGGCATGGAGCGCTGGCTACGGCTTCTTCCGAGGCTCTTTCCTGATGCGCACAGGTACTGCAAAGGTCTGGTAATGACCATTGACCAGAACAGCTGTTTTCTGCCCAAGCCAAGAACATGTCATAAAAGAGCTTGCAGATGTGCTATGTATATCTTGCCTTGGTTGTCTCAGCTAACTCTGGACAGATGGCTCCAAACTTATTAAGTATGAAACAGAAAAGACCATTCCTTCTGGGTCTCCTTGCCCTACTAGGAATTTGAGAAGACCAGGGACCGAGTGATTTTAATGTTAAGTTCTAACGGAGTCAGTCCCAACCAGGTGTTGCTTGGCCATCCCTGTTTCTCATGCTTTTTCCATTCCTTCCCCTCTGGGCAGAAACGGTGCTGAGCTTTGTTGACGACATCATCTCCGGAGCGAAGTCTCCTTGTGCGATGCCCTCTCAGGTCCCGGACAAGCAGCTCACCACCATCTCTCTGATCATACAATGCCTGGAACCTGACACCATCTACATGTGAGTGACAGACACCTGTCTAGTTATTCCTTACCCTGAATGCCCCCAGACTTTTAGCTGGTTCCTTTTAGCTGCTTGAGTTCCTTTAGAGACTTCGAAAAACATGAGTGTCTCAAGCCTTGTCTCAATCAGCATTATAGAGAATCTTCTCGGTATTGGAGGGGGAGGACCAAGAAAGATAATATAGTCCCATCCTAGTTTGCAACATATAAACAACTAACGTTAACATCAGGCCGATTGAAATTAAAGCTAGATGTAAAAGAGCAAGGAACCTGTTGTAGAAAAGAAAGAGGTGATTCTTTCTAACTAGAGAGGACGTCATCTGAATTAGGTTGTGTAGAATTTCAGTAGGAAGCATAACGTTGGAAAAGGCACTCTGGGTGAGCGGCGAGTAGACAACAGGGTAGAAGCAGGTAGTGAATAAAGGGGACAGAAGAAGGCGAGCTTGGGAAACTAGAGTGAATGCTGTTAAGTCAGAGGAGATGATTAATTTTGTTTTGGAGGAAAGGAGTAGAATACCAAGAATTCTGCTCTAGTGGCATTGAAATAGATAGTTTACAGAGGTGAGAGATGGTCTTTCTTCAAAGAAAGTACAGCGAGCTCCTGTATTGTGGCACTTGGAACAGCTCTATTCTTTCTGGTAGCTCTTCCCCGTTTCCCTCGGTGCTCTGGGAACAACAGTAAAGTATTCGCGAAACAGACATAAAAGATACCAAGAGAGGAGAGAGAGTGATGGAATCTTAAGTCATGACGGGAAAATTGCGCAGGCGGGGGGTGAAGGCAGAATTCATAGCGATGTAGTTCTGCGACTCTTTGACCCCATCAGTATGAAAAACATTTAACAGTTTACAGATGAGGTCATGGGAACAGAGTCAAGGTTTCTGGAATAAATCATTTCCATTTCCGTAGTGGAAGAGTTCAAAGATGAAAAGCACTGGAAATGTGAGTGGCGTGGATTGCAAGATGAACTTAGATGCTCAGGCTGAATACCTTCAGTACAGGAAGGAGATGTGACCAAGGGGCCAGGCTGATGAAAGTAAAACACATAAAGACAAGTGGTATTCTGGAGGGGCTGGAAAATATAGAGAGACATAAATGGTAATAGTAGGACAAAGGAAAATCTACTTAGGATTCTCATCAGATGGCCTGAGATTTGGGCAGTCTGGCCCTTCATTAGGAGGGGAACATGTAAAACGAACAAAGATTTGGGAACATGGAACACCTAACCTGCTGTAAATGCCTCAACCTCAGTGAAACTGGAATTACCATTTATAATGAGGGCCCACTAATTCCTGTCACTAAGTAACAAACGTTAATTAGGAATTTCAAAGTTCCTACAAGCACGAGGCTGGCATGGTTGTCCGTTAGGAGTGCCAGCCCTTACCCACTCTGGGACCCTCCTCATATGGGCCTTGGTCTGGCTACATTTCACAGAGACCCGAGGCCGATGGCTTCTCCCACTCTGCTATCCTAGGTGAGCTTCTAGTGTCTCCCTCTTAAGTCTTGTAAAACACAAACGTTCTGTCAAGATTGATTGCTGAAGAAATTAAGAGACAGTGCACTGGGCAGAGGGAAAAACAGCCAACCTCCACTAGGTGGCGCTGCAGATCATGTGCAGAGAGCATGCAGGCGGGCCTGGGAGAGACGTTCCTCCTTGCAGAGCCATCGAGTGGACCAGAGCTTCAGTCCCTGGTGCAAGGACAGGAGCCCTGCGTTAAGAGTTGAGAACACATGGGCCCCAAACCTGATTTTGTTTCTAACCACTAAGTGATTAAGCAGAACACTGAACGTTTCTGCAACTAAGTTTTCTTATCTGTAATATGGAGGAAGGCAGCCTTCATTTATGGAGGGTTCACTACGTGTAGGTGCTTCTGGGAACCACCACCCCCGACCCTGTGAGATTAGGGTTATTGTTCCCATTTTATAGATGAGGAAACTGAGGTTCAGCAACGCTGAGTAACTTCCTCAGAATCACACAGCTTGTTGTCTGGGTGTGGCGGGTGGTTAAGAATTGAATCAAGGTTTGCATTCTCTTATCTGCGTCTCACTCCCCAGCCAGTCCAGGCTACTGGAAGGATCGAGCATGATCTTATAACTCAAGTGAAAGCATAGAGCTAGCTGGCTCTTCACCTGGGGTCCACGGAGGCAGAATGGCCTTTCAGTATAGATGGCTTACTTTGCCATCCTATGCACTTTGATGCATTGGAAAAGCATTATTCTGAGAAGGGTCGACTGTACAAAAACAGTTAAGAATCCTGGTTGAAAGAGATCTTAAAGTGTGTCCGGTACTCTATCTTCATTTTACAGATGAGGAAACTGAGGCCAGAGTGGGGAAGTGACTCCCTGGCCTTGTAGCCTACCACACCCCACCGCAGCGTGCCCTCACAGCAGAGCCGCTGCCTTAGGGGACATGAGACAACGAACAGATAATTCAGAAAAAGGGAGTGGATTTGGAGCCATCCGTAGAAACCACCACACCTGGAGGGGGCAAGTGTGAAAGTCGCAGACAGAGACAGTCAGCCCCTGGCAGGAGGCCCAAGGATACTCCATGCACTTCAAGTTTCAGTCCTTTAAAACATCAGCCCTGGAGCCAGAGCAGGGCTGCGTTGGTTCACACGCACGCACGCACGCACACACACACAATATACATGTCGTCACACAGGCTCTAACAACAGGCTAAACAGTCCCAGCAGCCAGGCAGAGGTGGAAAGGGTCTGGGAGCTTTGGACGAGACAGTGAATGGACTTACACATTATCCCTCTGGATTGGGAGCAGGGCTTATCTCTTCTGTCCAGTAATTCCGGCTATAATCCTCTTACTATCCTATGAGTGTCCAGGGTGGAAATGCTGCTGCTGACTATAAACGGAGGACCTTCCTGAAATAACTGCACACAACATTTCCACATGAAACGTGTAGAGTGTTCCCCAGGCTTGCTTCAGTAGTAAAAATAATCTGACTACTCCTCAGGGTCCCTCCAGGACCGAGGGAGCCAGGACCGCTGAGGATGGTTTTTTAGGTCAGGCATCCTCTCTACTTAGAAGGATGTGGGAAGACTTTTGTTTCCTAATAAAGGTAAGGGCTTTGCTATTAAAAATGGTAAGGACTTAGGACCCTAAATTTTTTTACTAATTGCCCGGTGAGAATAATGAGAATTAATTACAGCATACACAATTTCATCCCAGCCCAAGATCCAATAGAGTTAGTGGGAACTCACAGCAGGATTGAGCACAAAGCAAACTCTGAGGAGTGGGACAAGCGGGAAGGGGTGAGGATTAACTGCATCCCAGGCACTGAGAGAGAGCGTCCATCTGACAGCCACTTTGGTACCTGAAGCTTAGGACATTTCTCAGGGAATTTCTCCAGGGAAGTTGCTAAAAATTAAAGGTTCAAGGTTAAATAAGGGTGCACTACAAAAGGTGGCTGGAACCTACCATAGACAGCCTAGGGCAGGTGACCCCTAAGCTTGTAAATATCCAGGCAGACAGCATCATGTAGCCCATGTAGCAAGATGCCAGCCCTGACCTGGAGTCCCAAGGCGATGCTCGGGGCCCTGGGAGGCGGATGGGAAAAGATGAAGCAGGGCCGTCTTACAGAGGACAGGACAGCAGGCAGTCTGGATCTCGGGGGCGGGGGGGCGGGCTCAGGAGTGTGGGCTCAGTCACCCAGTTGTGGAGGGACCAGTGAAGGAAGAGAGCACAGAGGTGAGAACCGTGTCCCTGGGCCTGGCTCACACTAGCAGCCCTGTGACTTTGCCAGTGCCTGGGCAACAAACAGGGCTTCCTATCTCCTGACTCTGATGAGAAGGGGCAGCCAGAAGTGGGATCAGGGCAGAGTCTGCAACAAAGATCAAGCGACCCACCTCTGAGCAGGGAGACGGACTTCCTACACGTCAGGGGCCCTGTCGTCAGGATCTCCAGTGAGAGAGATTCCTGCTCCATGAAGGGTACATGAGGGTGAGGAGGAATTCACCCATCTGGGAACCCCTGATCAAGAGGTGCAGGTCTGCAGTCTGCCCTGGGTACCTCTGGGCCCATCTCTGAGAAACAGCTCAAGGTGGTCTGGAGCAGAAGGGCAGAGGAGGGAGTTGAGACCTGGCCTGAGACCGGCTTGTGGGATACGACTGGGAAATGGAGCAGTGCCAGACAGGGTAGAGCGGACATGCTGGCTTCAGGTTTGGTGGCCTCAGTCACATTTCTAGAAATAGTAGCAAAAGGCTGATCAGGTGTGTATATGGGGGGTGGGGAATGATGCAAAATTCCAGGGGCTGCCATTGCTCGGGGTCCAGGCAGCCCAGTGTGTGAGGCTGGATGCAAAGGGCTCACTCAGACCTGGGAGGGGAGGGATGGTGACGGGGGAGAAGCCAGTCCCTGGATTTCGGATCAGGGTGGGAGAGGGGTTTAGTACTAGGTAAGGTGGTAGATCCGAACTAAGTAGCAAGACAAGAAGCAGAGGACAGTAGAACGGACAGAGACACCTTGTGCACATAAGATGAGAAAGCCAAGCACCTGGTCCTTGTCTGACTGACAGCAAGGAGGCTGGGCGGTCCCGCGGGAGCACACGGGCAGGTCTGCACCCAGCTGGGCCAGCACATCCATGGGATGTGATTCCAGCATGAGACTGGAGAAGGCAGAGGGAGGGAAGACAACACATCAGGACACACAGCTTCTTAACACTGACCGTTTCCTGGGCTTCTCTGTGGGGAGGCAGTCGTAGATGCAAGGCTGTCTTTTCTCTGCTGAGAGAAACTTATATTTCCTGACGGAATCATTAGGCAATTTCCATTCCTTTTCTACCTCATCGGTTCAGCTGTCTGAGGCTCATTTACCTTAACATGTACCTGGCCCCTCTGTCTTGGGGCATCTTTCTTCTTTTCACATCTCTTCCTCCCTGTAGCTCTGCCAAGAGGAAAGAAAATCCAGACTTGCCAATAAATGCAACCTCCCATGGCGACACAGCAAAAGAGAAAGAGACAAGAAAAGCAGCATTAATGATTTGCTTTAGACTCACTAGATTAGTTGTTAGAGGTCCTGGGCACCGACACCAGAGGTTACCTTCATGGTTATATTCAAATTCCTGTCTGAGTAGCAGAACCTGGCGTCGCTCTTTCCTCTCCATCGAATTCCATCACCCAAGGGGGAAATTTTACATTCAGCCTTTGATGGCCGGGTCTTCATCCTCTTCCTGATGTGTGTATGTGTGTGTGTGTGTGTGTGTGTGTGTGTGTGTGTGTGTGTGTGTTGAAGGGTGGAGGGGGCTCTTAAAACCACATCTTCTCGTTGCCAGGGGTAGGTTTCCACTCTGGACTCCTGGTCCAGGTTTCCACTCTGGACTCCTGGTCCACGGCGGGGAGCATCTAAGTGGGTCAGAAGGAACTGCATACAGGAGATAGAGCCCCTAGTCACAGGCACGTCAGGACCCCCCAGCTCTGGTGTTTTCACTTCTGACTTAAAGAGGAGAATAGTCCTCAGTGCTCGGCATAAAAGCCTCAACTGGGTACAAGATGAACAGAACAGAATTAATATAATTTATGCAATGTCATTGAGCTCCAGGTACTGCGCTAGGTCTTCCTGTGCTTTATTATCTCACTTAATCATCGCAATGACCTACAAGCAGTTTTATTATCAGCTCCATTTCACAGAATAGGGAAAGTAAAGCTCAGAGGAGTTAACTAACAACTCCACATGGCAGGGAGTGGAGGCTTCAGACCCACTTCAGACCATCTGTTTCCACAGATACATGCTCTTTCCCTCAGCTTGGTGGTTGTCAGAATGGAACTGGCATCAGAATCACCTGGAAGGCTTGTCATAGCACAGATCTTTGTCGCCACCCCTAGAGTTTCTGATTCAGTAGGTCTGGCATGGGGCATGAGAATGGTCATTACTATCAACTTCCCCAGTGATGCTACTGGTCTGGGGACCCCACTTTGAGAACCGTGATGCTCTATGCCGTGATGCTCGCCATGAGGTAATATCCTTAAGACAGCAAATGACAGCCCAAGACCTACCAGGAAGCAGCAAGATGCTCTAGACTGCATACTTTATGACCTGGTGATGGCAGTAAGCACATGGCAGGGTGGCGAGAGCAGCCAGGGGCAAACCCGCCCGTCCAGTAAGGCTTGGCTGTCAGCTGGACCGCAGGTTCTCTCTGTTAATGCTACCCTCCCCTCCCTGCCAGGTTCACCCTGTGGGGAGTGGACAACACAGGACGACGCTCCAGGCCAAGTGACGTGATCGTGAAGACCCCTTGCCCAGTGGTGGATGATGTCAAAGCCCAAGGTAAGAGACACTGAGGCCAGCAGAGTCTGCAGAGGGATGCTCCAGGGACCTCCCCTCGCCATGGGGAAAGGGGGAGCAAGAGAGTCAAACAGAACAACCTGGAGTTCAGCAGGGAAGGGGGAGAATTCAAGGCTCAGGACAGGAGCATCTGCTTTCCAGGAACTCCTCAACCTCTGCCTCTGGCGGAAATCTGCATTGCATCCCATTATTCCACATAGTCTGTAAGTCAGAGAGCCAGTAGGAGATACTGGTGAAAGCCCCAGACACACATGGCAATGCACCAGGTGCTTATGTACATGGTACCAGGTGCTTTAGTACCTGTGACCTCTGCCCTCAGAATGCTGATCGGCTAACTTACTCTCTTCATATTTTTTGGTACACATCTGAAAGATTAGCATAGGAAGGCTACAGATTTAGAATTAATTGCTATATCACTCCCTCCCTACCAAAGATGTGCATAGGAAGGCTACAGATTTAGAATTAATTGCTATATCACTCCCTCCCTACCAAAGATGTGTCAGAATCTTCATTCTATATTTTAGAGTTGTTATGGACCAGTTCTTTGGTAAAGAATTGTCCCTCTTCAGTGCAGCAGAATGAGCCCCTGTCAATTAGGAAGAGTTTGTTTTCAGTCAACATCCATTACACGAATAGCACACTTCTCGCTGCTTCTTCTCCTCATGAAGCTCCCTGGAGGTCTTGATATCGTCACTTGCTCTAAGGCTTATTACATCCCCTCCACAACCAGAATTTAACTCTCTTGGGCACCACTTCTGTGGGGCTCTGGCACCAGTTAAAGTGATCTGATCAACTAGTAATTTCTATTAACAGTTGGACAGCTAACGGACCTATAGCATACGCACATTAACAGAGATGGTGACTGATGCTAGAAGTTTAGGTTGTGCAAGTTTTAATAAGAGAAATGCTGTTGCCAAGCTGGCATGTGGTACCCCTCAAATCACCTTAACTGTGGCTCCTGACTCCAGCTGTATGAAGTTGGCTATGAGTTGACACAATCCCACAATGTTCAAAGGGTGATTCAAAGCCACAGTGGGTAGAGACCTAGACCTACTTTAATTAAAATCACTGATGCTGTAGCACTTTACACCTTCTGAAAGGACTTTCATTTATTGCCTCATTTAACATGCATGGCATGTTAAAGGCACTGTTATTTTCAACACAGAAATCTGATCACATAACGCCTCTTCTTACAACTCTTTAATGAATTGCTATTCCTCTTGTGATGAAGATCAAAATATGTAACAGGCATATTAGGACTTAAATGGAGGGACCCTTGCCCACTTCACCAGCCTCTTCTTGCCCACACTCCCCATCAATCTCTGTATTTCCTGAAGCCTCACTGCCTTTCTCAGTTCCTCCAACACACCATTTCCATTTCCAACACGGAGCCTTTGCACGTGTTAGTTAGTCTCACTACCTCAAATACTCTCCAATTCCACCCCTTTCACTGATTAACTCCTCTCAGCCTGCAGATCTCAGAGCAAGTGTCCTTCCTCAGTACGGAAGGGGTCCAGGGCCACTGCTAGATGCCCTCATAGTACCATGTTTCTTTCTTTCAGAACATTTATCTCAGTTTGTTATTATAATGCCTTGTTCAATATCTGTTTACCTCATTAGACAGTGAGTTCCATGAGAGCAGAGTTCTGTTCTCTGTTTGCCTATGATTATGTCCCTAACACTTAGAAAGGAGCATGGTGACTGACTCGTTCCAGGAAATGTAGACTCTGGAGTCAGACCACCCAGGGTCAAATTTCTGCTCTACCATCTAACTACTTGACCTTGAGCATGTTACTTCACCTTGTGCCTCAGTTTACTACTCTGTAAAATGGGGTGGGGCATAATGGTACCCTAGATAGTAAGTTTCTAGTGAGAGTTAAATTAGTGAATTTATGTAAAGTGTTTTTAAGTGCCTGTCCAGTAGTAAGTATTCAGTAAATATTAAGGATTGTGGGATTTTGTCCCTCATGGTCAACCTGATACAACTGGAGTCAGGAGTCATGAACAGGATGATTTTCAGGCTACTAGCACATCAGCTTAGACACAATATTTCTTTTATTGAAACTTTCCCAACCTAAACTTCCAGCATCAGTCAATGTCTCTGTTAAGATCATTAACCATGCCTAGAGTTTGTTCTCAAGTAGGAACTCAATAAATATTTATTTATTTATGTACTTATTTATTTTTATTGGAGGATAATTGCTTTACAATGATGTGTTAGTTTCTGCTATACAGCAAAGTGAATCAGCTATATGTATACATATATCCTCTCCCTCTTGGACATCCCACCCCCCTAATCCCACCCATCTAGGTCATCACAGAGCACCAAGCTGAGCTTCCTGTGCTTTATAGCAGGTTCCCACTATCTATCGATTTTACGCATGGTAGTGTATGTATGTCAATCCCAATCTCCCAATTTGTACCACCCTCCCCTTCTCCCCCGTGTCCACATGTCCATTCTCTTTGTCTGTGTCTCTATTCTTGCCCTGCAAATAGGTTCACCTGTACCATTTTTCTAGATTCCACATATATGCTTTACTATATGATTTTTTTTCTCTTTCTGACTTACTTCACTCTGTATAACAGACTCTAGGTCCATCTACAACTCTACAAATGACCCTATTTCATTCCTTTTTATGGCTGAGTAATATTCCATTGTATATATATGTACCACATCTTCTTTATCCATTCATCTGTCATTGGACATTATGTTGTTTCCATGTCCTGGCTATTGTAAATAGAGCTGCAGTGAACATTGAGATACATGTGTCTATTTGAATTATGGTTTTTTCAGGGTATATGCCCAGTAGTGTTATTGCTGGGTCATATGGTAGTTCTATTTTTAATTTTTTAAGGAACTTCCATACTGTTTCCCATAGTGGCTGTATCAATTTACATTCCCACCAGCAGTGCAGGAGGGTTCCCTTTTCTCCACACCCTCTCCAGCATTTATTGTTTGTAGATTTTTTGATGATGGCTATTCTGACCTGTGTGAGGTGATACCTCATTGTAGTTTTGATTTGCATTTCTCTAATAATTAGTGATATTGAGCATCTTTTTATGTGCCTCTTGGCCATCTGTATGTCTTCTTTGGAGAGAGGTCTGTTTAGGTCTTCTGCCCTTTTTTTTTTTTTTTTTGCGGTACACGGGCCTCTCCCTGCTGTGGTCTCTCCCGTTGCGGAGCACAGGCTCCAGATGCGCAGGCTCAGCGGCCATGGCTCACGGGCCCAGCCACTCCGCGGCATGTGGGATCTTCCCGGAACGGGGTACGAACTCGTGTCCCCTTCGTCGGCAGGCAGACTCTCAACCACTGTGCCACCAGGGAAGCCCTTCTGCCCATGTTTTGATTGGGTTGTTTGGTTTTTTTATATTGAGCTCCATGAGCTGTTTGAATATTCTGGAGATTAATCCTTTGTCCATTGCTTCATTTGCAAATATTTTCTCTCACTCTGAGGGTTGTCTTTTTGTCTAGTTTATGGTTTCCTTTTACAATTTGCATGGAAACACAAAAGAGCCCAGATAGCCAAAGCAATCTTGAGAAAGAAAAACAGAGCTGGAGGAATCAGACTCCCTGACTTCAAACTATACTACCAAGCTCAGTAATCAAGACAGTATGGTACTGGCACAAAAACAGAAATATAGATCAATGGAACAGGATAGAAAGCCCAGAGATAAACCCACACACCTATGGTCACCTAATCTATGACAAAGGAGGCAAAAATATACAATGGAGAAAAGACAACCTCTTCAATAAGTGGTGCTGGGAAAACTGGACAGCTACATGTAAAAGAATGAAATTAGAACACTACCTAACACCATACACAAGAATAAACTCAAAATGGATTAAAGACCTAAATATAAGACCGGACACTATAAAACTCTTAAAGGAAAACATAGGAAAACACTCTTTGACATAAACCACAGCAAGATCTTTTCTGACCCACCTCCTCGAGTAAAGAAAATAAAAACAAAAATAAACAAATGGGACCTAACTAAATTTAATAAATATTTACTGAATGCATAGAATATTGCCCCCATCTTATAGATGTAGACACTGAGATTCGGAGCAGAGTAAGTAAGCTGACCAGGGTCACAAAGCTAGCATCTTACAGGGCCTGCGCTCAGACTCATTATTTGACATCAATCCCTATTTTGCTTGCAATGTTAAATTAGATATTTAGAGGATTATTATGTAAAAGACTGAAAACCTTTCTTTGTCTCTCAATACTGATGAAGAAAAGACATATCAATACATAAAAAAATAGTGTTCAATTTATATAGCAAAATAATTCTCCTTTTCAGGATTATTGGTGTCCACTGAGATGTTATAGTAGAATGGAGACCCTTAGTATAAGACAAATGTGCTTCTCTCTGGAGTGAGTGTTGCCTGGTTTGTAGGGTATGGACTGAATGACTTTTGAAGGTCTCTGAAATCCCTTGATGATGAAAGCAGAATCTGGGGTTGAAAACACCTAGATGAGAGACTGGGAAGGACCCAAGTTACCCTTATTTCATCATCTGTTGATTTCTTACTCCAAGCCAGAGTAAGAACAGGTGTTGAGAAGGTGTCCCAGCTATTTCCGTTTTGGAGAATTTGCTGATGTCCTTGCCAGCAGTGGTAGGCACCTTGGACTTGTTTGCTGAATAGGCAGCAGGCTGGTTGGACATCAGTGGGGTGAATAGCACGTAGGAGAGATGCCAGACAGTGCCACCTGCAGGAATAGATGGATAGAAGCAACTCTGGAATAAAGAGTGGCCAGCAAAGAATAATCTGCCCAGGAGAGACCGCTATACTATTTCTCTGTGGGGCTTCTTTGTGTTAATCTCGTCCCCAAAGCATATCAAGATGTGCTTCTGACCATTTGTGCCCCCTGACAAAGAAGACTTTCTGAAATCCCAGCAGACCAGCTGGGAGCACGAGAAGCAACTTAATGCTGAGAGAATGAAATAACATTCCCAGGTCCCGTTATCCTTCAGCCAGA